GAAAACATCTTTAAATAAATATGGTTCATCTCTTGCATATCGACTGTAAATATTTGCTAAAGGAAGTTCGACTTTCTGATTTAACATTCTTTGCAAATAATACCATGACATTGCAGTGAATTCTGTATATATTTGTTCGTCTTTCTTTGGATTGTCTTCGTAGATTTGAAATGACACTTGTGAATTTTGTTTGTCATATACAATTCTCACATAAAGTGTGCTCTCGGTATTTGCATATTCATCAGCATATTTTGCATAACATGAATTTATTTTATCTTCTATATTTTTTAACGCAGTCTGTAGAGAAGATGAAAGGTCAACTTGTATTAGCTCAATTTCTTCCCACATTTTTCGTTTCCCTTCAGATATATAATCTATATGAAACCTTACAATAAATGGAAAACTTTTATCTTCTACAGACACAAACTTCATTCTACGAAAGCCAATAGCTTTTGTGACAGATGGGTCTCTTAGCCATCTTAATGGGTAGTCAAAACGATAGCCTTCATGCTTTACGGTCTCTGTCTCAAACTTTTGACCGACATTAGTAAAAAGTTCATCTAATGGTTTAGTTGTAGCAACTCTTGAATTTTCTTTTTCTATTGGAAGCATATTTTATCTAGAATAAAAATGTCAAATGAAACAGCGTCTATGAGAGAAATACAACACAACCGACAACTCATTATACAAGCTCTAAATAAGAACACAACAAACTTTTCAAACTATTCTAAGATATCTGAGTCATTGAAAGAAGGAAACTTAAAACTGACGATAAACCCAATGACAGATGAGTTTCTGTTTCAAGACAGTAAGAACCATACTGTTTGTATAAATCCAACAAAAAGAACTTTAAACGAGAAACCTATAGATGAACTTCTTTTGAAAGCAGATGTTAACAATAAAGCTGACAAAGAGTATGTCATTGAAAAAGTTCAAGAAGAACATGACAGAGCAGATGCAACATATGCAACAAAAGCAGATGTTAACAATAAAGCTGACAAAGAGTATGTCATTGAAAAAGTTCAAGAAGAACATGACAGAGCAGATGCAACATATGCAACAAAGCAACTGATACATCATGACAGAAGCAGATGCAACTATGCAACAAAAACATACTGTTGACAATAAAATGTCAAGTGAAGTGACAAGAGCTGACAAAGAATATTCTAAAAAGACTCATACACATACCATTGCAAATATTACAAACTTACAAGAAACCTTAAACAGGAAAAGTGACGTTGGACATACACATACCATTGCAAATATTACAAACTTACAAGAAACCTTAAACAGGAAAAGTGACATTGGACATACACATACCATTGCAAATATTACAAACTTACAAGAACCTTAAACAGGAAAGTGCCGTTGGACATACACATACCATTGCAAATATTACAAACTTACAAGAAACCTTAAACAGGAAAAGTGCCGTTGGACATACACATACCATTGCAAATATTACAAACTTACAAGAAACCTTAAACAGGAAAAGTGCCGTTGGACATACACATACATCTTCTGAAATAACAGACTTAAACGTTAGCCTTGAAAATAAAGCAGATAAAACATATGTCAATGAAATATACCAAAGTTTGATGGGAACAAAAAATATTGAGACTATTGTTGGTGACCTTTCTGTCAATGAAGAAAATAAATATTTTAGATGGCAGTTGGTACAGTCCTTAGAAAATGGTACACGGTATAAACTCATTCCGAAAAATAACAATGAAATGTATGTAAGCTATAAAAAGAACGATGGTACACAAGTTAAAGTTCCATTAGACAACAACTGCTACTTAAACTTCTATGGAGACGAACAAAAGAAATATTTAAGAGTTTATGAAATGGCAGATATGACATTGCCTGACCCAGCTCCAGCACCATATTATTATGACTATGGAGATGACGTTTAGAACACCACATGTAGATGAACAAAAGCTAACATTATATTTAGATTTTTAGATATAAAAGATATAATGCAATAGAAAAAACGAGAATAGTATACTATTATGAAGATGACAGAAATAAATATTATAGTCAAGACTTTACCCACCCTGAAAACATAAGATTATATTATAAAAAATATTCTGACACAAACCAGAAGAAACCTGAAATAGTTGCACTATATTTTAAGTTCAAAAGAGACAATCCTATAATATCTCATATGTTTGATTTAATGAACCCAGTAGGTTCTATTTATACATCTATGGAAGCAAGAGGTCCTCAAGTAATGTTTGGTGTTGGTGCATGGGAACAAATAGTCGACAGGTTTTTGTATTGTGCAAACTCTTCAAAGGAAACAGGTGGAAGTAAAACGATTTCAGGTGAAAATTTACCTGCACACAGTCACTACATAGATTTAAGTACATCTCAAGCAGGTTGGCATAAGCATAGATATTGGGATTGGTCAGGAATGACAAAAGGTAAAGGATATGATGTTAAAGACGACGTTAAGTTTGCTATAAATGTTACTGGAGTGACACTCAGGGAGAAGGAAACCATACACATTTCGTTTCAGGATATACACAAACAACGGGACAAAGTAAAGAATACATGCCACCTTACATGACAGTTTACGCATGGTATAGAATTGCTTAGTCGTCATTTTCAACTTCTTTAGCATATTCGTCAGGAGTTGTCTTATATTTGTTAGGAACTGTCTTTGAAAGTATACCACCTTGAACTTTGACAAGTTTGAAACGAGGTCTGACAATAGTCGTTTTATCTTCTGCTTGCAGTCTGTACATTTTGCCATGTTTGCCTAAAACTTCATAATATTCTCTTGTATACTTTCTTCTATTTTTACGAACACGAATGCGAGTACCTGTCGAGTTCCCATTGTTGTCATAGTCAATAGTATTTTCATATGGGTCGCGTTTAGGTATTTCTATTTTACTTTGTCACCTTTCTGAAGTTTGAAGCCTGGCATTCTTTCTTGTTCATCCCTTTTGACTAAACTATTAAATATATAGTCTTTCTCTAAGTCAGGGTTGTTTTTCATTTCTTCAGGGGAATGGTTTCCCAAACCTTTTTGTTTACGGCTATTGTAAATATTTAAAACTTGTCTCATCTTTGCCATGGAGAAGTGTCTGTACTTGTCGTCATATGACATTTCATCTACCTCACCACCTTGTGGTTGGTTTAAGTCTCTTAAGATTTTTATACAACTGTCAATGACACCAAGAGCAGAATGGTTTTGGTCGACAATGAAATATTGGTTTACATTTTTTGAACGCAGATAGTTTTTAATATCGTCTGATTTGAAAGAACTTTCACAGTCAGATGTCAGTTTTGTTGGATGGTATTTGTCAACGAATATTGTCAAAGCAGTTTTCACATCTAAAATATTTTTGGACCATAATGGTATGGCTTCACAGTATCTTGTGTTTTGACCGACAAATATTAGCCAGTATGGTGGTCCGTCTTCTCTATACCTCGGAATGTTTTCCAAGATATCCATAAACCAAGCATTTGGTGTTGAACTAAAGATTTTTACCATGAGTGCTTTCTTTGTCGCTTTAGAAACATAGGGGTCCTTGTTTGGATTCGTCATTTTTTATCCTATAAGAAATGGGTTTATTTGGCGCATTAGCAGGAGTTGCATCTAGATTTTTGCCCGCAGTGGGAACAATAGCCAGAGGTGTATTTGGAGTTGGAAGGAAGATTTTGAGTACATTAGGTATACTGAAAGAGAAAGCACAACCTATTATACAAACTGTACAGAAAGGTTGGGATGTAGCACGAGATGCAACAAATCTTATTCCAAATCCTGAAACAAGAGGAAAAGTTCAAGGATGGATGGACAATGTAGGAAGACAAGCAGGAAACTATTATAACAAAGCAAATGACTACTATAACCAAGCAGGACACTATATGGACCAAGGTGAAAGATTCTTTAACAGAGGATATAACCATGCACAACAGTGGGTAAACAACAACCAACCGCAACCGCCTCAAACGTGGGGAATGTAAATTTTTTTACTGAGATGAAATGAACAATACAGCATTGAGACAAATGGGCTCAAGATGGATTTGTCGGCTTCCAGCAGTTACACAACCACGTGTTTGTCAAGTTCTTCCTATACCTCAAGAAGTTTTAGACCGACTTAAAAAACCTAAACAACCAGTTGAAAACAAAACAAACTAAAATTTTTTACTGAGATGAAATGACCGAAGAAGTTGAAACGGTAGATTTGACACCACAAACAAAAAGTTCAGAACCATTGTCAAAACCTGTCAAAGAACTTACAGATGAAGAGAAAAATTCAATAATAGAAAGTGCCAGGTCTGGAAATACAAACCCTAACTACAAAGTCACTTTTCATAGAAATGGAACGGCTAGTATCTCAAAAAAGAAACAGACTCTCACAAATAAAATATTGAAGTCTGAAGGAGCTTTCGAGACAACAGATGGAAAAGTTTACTTCACTGACAAACAGTTCATTATAGAACATCTCATTGACTTAGAGTCAAAATATTCTAAACTTTACAACAAACACAAAAAGTTGAAAGGAAAACAAAAACAAATGGCATATGATATTTATGAAGATGTTGACGACACAACTAAACCTGCAAGTGAGGTAAAGTCAGATGAACCGAAAAGTGACGAAAAACCGATAGAAGAAGAAAAACCAAAAACTGAAGATAAACCAAAACCAAAGTTTAGTTTCCAAACTAAACCAAGTCAACCTTCATTAGCTGGTATGGGTTGGCGTCAAAGACTTATGGCAGCAGGTGGTTATGTAAAGTAAAGAAAAAAATATTTTTTTATTTTTATAAAAATGCCCCCATATAGAATGGATAGAAAATCTGCTAGAATAAAAGCAGAGTTAGAAAGATATGGTTGGAGAGTTTCGAAGAATTTTAAATATAGGAAGGGAAGACCCATAAAAGTCTATGACAAATTGTCTGGTCTTCGCTATGAGATGGACTTGGAAACAGCGCGCGCCAATTATCCAAACAGACTGGAGAGGTTAGAAGAAGAACGTCTTATGGACATGCCTTTCGATGTTAGTGAACCTCAAGTTGAAGGACACGACGGCTTTGCCAGATTCTACTGGAAACATGACGAACAATTGCATCCTTTGAGAAGGAAAAAAGGTAGTGCAGAGGATGGTCATGCTCCCATGGAAAGAACAAGATATGCATATGAAAAGTATCGTGAAGTTAGAAGTCAAATTACATCTGGTCGAACCTTTACAGTAAACTTTGACGAAGGAAAGAACAAAGAAGGCTTCATGGGTGTACTTGCTGCAATTCAAGACGGAAATAAGAAAGGATACAATCTCAGATTGACCATAACAGATTTGGATGGTCACATTTACTATGCATATGGCAATGTCACAACAGCTGCAATGCTTCTTGACGCTTTCAAGACTACAAAGAGAGAACAAATGTTTGACTCCGACTCAGACATTTTGAATGCAATTGAAGGAATTGCAAGCGTCAAGCTCGAATGGTACAAACGTAACCCTCAAGCAGTCAGACAACATGTTTGTTAGATGAGAAATATGAAATGGCATACCATTTTAAAACATTTTTTAAAACCATATATTTTTACATATATTAAATGTTTCAGGTTGAAAAACAAAGAACAAAAGGAGTAGATACAAAACCGTTAGACTATATCTTTACAAACGCTGGTAGGAATATATCAGATGAAGAAATTTCATCCGGAGCTTACAGGTTTGACTTTCCAATTCGTTGGCTTCAAAGTCCTTCAGATGCAAAGGCAATAGGATTTAGAAGAGTTTTGTTTTCAAAAAGAACTAACGCATTTATGTTCGCAGTATATTTTCATGGGCAGTATGAAGGTTCTAATGGTCTAATAGACAAATTTGACGAAATGAGAATCTTTACAGTTCGTTCAGACGAAAGTCTTGAGAAAACTCTAAATGACTTTCAAACTCAAATAAACAAATACTACTGGGAATTTCAAGAAAAATACGACTCTTTACTAAATGGAACGTACTATCTAAAACTAGAATACAACAAGATGAATTCCACCGTTTCATTTCAAAGGATTGAAATTAACCCTCCAAGAAGTACACAGTTTTTATTTTGGGAAGTAGACAAACGTTCTTGGGCACAATTTCTTCGGTTACTAAACCAGAACGAACCATTGCCACCTGACGGTCCGTTTAAATTTATACGTCCACCAGCAGATTTGACAGTTTATAGAAACGTGTTTGACCCTCAAAATGTTATGTGTCATGCAAGTTTCAGTTCAAGCAACAACAGTTTTCTTTGTATCGGTAAGGACTTTTATGACTTTGCTTCTAAATTCTACGAACCACCTAGTAACAGTTTCTCTGACTTTCAAGTTTGGTTCACAACAAATGGTGTGCAACATATTATTCCATTGTACTATGACTTTTATCTCGAATTGTCTTTCATATATAACTACGGAAAAGTGCTGAAAAAGTATTGAATGTGAAGATATTAGAAAATAACATTTTTTCTAACATCGTAGAAAACTCATGAAAACAATTTATTTTTAAAACAATATATTTTTTTTATTTTATTTGAAATGTACGCTGAGTTTGTTGGAGAAGACCGTTGGGAAACTTGTTTGTTAGATGAGAAATATGAAATTCACTGTTGTGAGTCATTTGAAGTCAGAAACAAAAAGACAAAAAGAGTTTTAAGCGAATGGGAGGGAAATGACGGATATGCTGATATGAAGATGGGTGGAAAACACTATTTTAAACATGTTGTCATTGCAACTCATTTTATACCGAATCCTAACAATTTACCTTTTGTAGACCATATAAACCATATAAGAAACGACAATAGACTTGAAAACTTACGTTGGGTCACTTATTCTGAAAACAATAAGAACAAGGGTAGATTAAGAGATATTGTATTCGAATTTGTCGACGAACTAGAAGATGAAACAATTGAAATTACAGACTATGGCAAGCATACGTTTGAGTTTTACTACTATAGCGAAGAACAAGACTCTTTCTACTTTTATACCGGCGTAAACTATAGGAAATTACAAGTATATTTTACTAAGGCGGGCTATGCTTATGTAAACACTAGAGATACAGATGGAAAATACGTTCGAATACTTCTTAACAAATTCAAGAAGCTATATGGCATACCATTTTAAAACAATATATTTTTACATATATTAAATGCTTCAGGTTGAAAGAATACGGTGGAGCCAAAAGTGGCTCGACCTCAAAACAAGCATTTTATGAGCTTACAAAGGGTGTTATGAATGAATTCAAAGGTATTTACATACATCCTGACCTCGTTCATTTTGTTGCTAAATTCAGCAAAAATAATGTTTAGGGTAGATGGGTAGATATAACCCGATTTCTAACCTCTTTTCTACCCTCTTGAATTTTCATGAATTTCATCGTAAATGTTTTGTCGAAACTTCTTCATCGTATATGCTTTGTCGAAACTTCTTCGTAAATGTTTTGTCAAGACTTCTTCATCGTAATGAGCGTAAATGACCAAAAAATAATGTTTAGGGTAGAAGGGTAGATATAACCCGATTTCTAACCTCTTTTCTACCCTCATGAATTTTCATGAATTTTCATGATTTCTTCGTAAATGTTTTGTCGAGATTTTTATCGTTGTGGTCCGACGGTTAAGCCACAAACGAATGTCCGACGTCCCACCAAAAAATATTTTTTATTTTTATTGTAAGAACAGAAATGTCAGTCGAAGCAAAAACGTTCACGAACAAATCTAATGGCGAAACATTCACAAAAGGCACTTACAACGGTATTGAAGTCTTACGTAGAGACAAGGATGGTTATATAAATGCAACAAATATGTGTCAGCAGTTTAGGAAGGACTTTAGAAGGTTGTTGGAAAATAAGTCCTGGGAAGAGTATTTTGAGGCATTTTGTGAAGAATATACCAACCCGCGGAAAACAGCGGGTTGCTTTTTATACAAAATTCATGCAGGAATTCCTGATGAAATCAAACAGGTTAGAGGAATGTATGTAGACCCAAGACTTGTAAACTATATAGCAATGTGGGCTTCTCCAAATATTGCATAGCAGTTGGAAAAATTATGGACTCCATAGACAAGAAAGTTCATGAGAAATTAGATGAAGAAGAACTTGAAGATACAGTAGAGAATGCAAAACCTTTGTTCGAAGAAGAAGTTAGAAAAATGCATGAAAAACAAATAGAACATGAACGTGAGATATGTTCTGGTTATAGAGACTCTCCATACGAACTAGACCAATGGGAACAAGAAGATTTAAAGAGAGAATTTAGAGAATATGAACTCGCTAAGATAGCATTTGAAGCTGCAGAAAAGAAGTTAAAAGTTTGGGGTCGTTTTGTAAAAAAATATTGTGAGTAAATGAACCATTTTTTTCGACAAAAATAATGTTTAGGGTAGATGGGTAGATATAACCTGTTTTCTAACCTGTTTTCTACCCTCTTGAATTTTCATGAATTTTCCCGAAATAAAAAATAAAGTTAGTTTTTTTAAAAAAATATTTTTTATTTTTATTGTAAGAACATGTTAGCAACAACAGCACCAAACTCGTTAGTCATGAACCCAACTTCAATGTTAGTAGAGATGAAAAGCTTCATTCCTTCTTCATATACTTTCGAAACAGAAATCCAGAAGATAAAGCAAGAACTTCTCCAAGGAGATTTAGATTGCACTGCAAAAGATGAAACAGATGAAGAATATCTTTATGAAATGCAGGATATTATTGACCATTTACCCAAATTGCCTGAAATCCAACAACAAAAGCTTACTATTCCAGAATTCGATGAAATAGAAGTCAAAGCAACTGACTCAGTAGAAATAAAGAAGTTCATACGAAAGGTTAACTATGAGTTTCTTGGATTTCATTGCAACCACAAAGTCATGGACAAAGATTGCGATATGGTATATAAGAAATCTCTGACATATACAAATCTGGGGAGTTTAAGACCTACGACAACTTTGTTTCGTTAGTTGCTGAATGTGTATGGCAGATAAGAGATAAAGATAGAAGAGGTAAGATATGGAATGAACAGATAAAACCCGCAACTTTTGAGTTAAAGAGAGCAATTGACGCCTTAGTCATACTAGCAGGTAAGGTTTCAGAATATAACGCAAAAATGAACCCACAATGTTCTAAATGTAAAGCAGCAATGAGGAAATATAACTACTACCCGTCAAAGAGATAGAACGTATGCGAAACTATGCTGACTTAAAGAGGGAGGCAGAGAAACCAGTAGAAGATAAAATGGACATGTTGACATTTCTAAACAAAAACTATCCAACAGCTGACGATTTCCTTCTTTCAGATGTCAAGAAGAAATATAAAGAAACCTTCGGCATTGTTAAAACATTCGATGTACTGACAGAAGAAATAGAAGCTACGAAATTGTTTAGAATTTCACGAATTCACAATGTTTACCATGTAAAACGCTTATAAAATAACTGGGGTAGAAATGAGGGTAGATATCGGGTTATATCTACCCTTCTACCCTAAACATTATTTTTTGGTCATTTACGCTCATTACGAAGAAGAAGTTTTGACAAAACATATACGAAGAAATCATGAAAATTCAAGAGGTGACAAAACATATACGATGAAATCATGACAAAACATATACGATGAAATCATGACAAAACATTTACGAAGAAGTCTTGACAAAACATTTACGAAGAAATCATGAAAATTCAAGAGGGTAGAAAAGAGGGTAGATATCAGGTTATATCTACCCATCTACCCTAAACATTATTTTTTGGTCATTTACGCTCATTACGAAGAAGAAGTCTTGACAAAACATATACGATGAAATCATGACAAAACATTAATATATAAAATTCATGAAAATTCAAGAGGGTAGAAAAGAGGGTAGAAAAGAGGGTAGATCTACCATTCTACCCTAAACATTATTTTTGCTGAATTCCGTATGAATTTTCATGAATTTCCTTAAGATAGAAAAAATAAAGTTAGTTTTATTTTTATTTATTTTTTTATTTTGTATGTAAAGACAGATATGTCAACAACCGAGAACACAACAACAGTTATAGTCCATGAAGCTATAAATGAAGAATATGAGTGGGTTCAGTTTAACAAACAACTCCGTCTCATTCGTTCGGTCAAAGACGATATGTACCAGATGCAAAGTATTTTGACAGCATGTTTTGCTCCAGATACTATGAAACCACAAGATTGGTTTGAATTAAATAGCACTCATGAACTCCTCAGTGAGTTTGAACATGTAGAACTTAAAAAGATGTACCAAGACAGACAAAACTTACCATCACATCTAAAAGGTATATATGTTCATAAGTTCCTAGTTAGTTCAATAGCAATGTGGGCTTCACCTCGTTATGCAATCTACATACTTATGCTACTTGACGAACTTTGTACAAAGCAGAGAGAAGATATGATGAAAGAAGACAAAAACATACAGAAAAGAATACCACGTTCGGTACCAAAAGGAAAGGAAAAGAACTATAAGTATATGATTTATACTGAAGAGATGGAAAATGAAGAAGACAGAGATATGGTTATGTTGCATTTAGTCAGAAGAAACAACAAAAGCTTTTACGACCTTGCTAAGATTTACAAATCTGACAGAAATTGGTTCTATCGCGAAAACTTACCGATTTCAATGACACCGAATGAAGATGTGAAACAAATAGTTCAAGATACTTTACCTCAAACACACTATGATATTAAAGGTTGTACAATTCTTACCTTCAAAGAAGATTTGCCATTGTTAAAGGAAAAAATAACAGAGTATTTTGACAACTTCAAACAAGTAGGGTAGATGAACCATTTATTTTTACGCTTGACTTCAGATGGCTCAAGTAGCTCTATAAAGTAAATTGCCTTGTCAAATCCTTCTGGCATTCCGAGTCCTTCCATCCGACATTCCGAGTCCTTCCTTCCGACATTCCGAGTCCTTCCATCCGACATTCCGAGTCCTTCCATCCGACATTCCAAGTCCTTCCTTCCAACTGGAAAAAAATTTCCCGACAACTGGAAAAAAATTTCCTTCCGACAGGCAAAATTTTTTCTGTTGTTCGTCCGTAAACCATTCAAATTTTCGAAAATTGAGAACTTTTTGGTCGAACTTCAGAAAAAGTTTTTCCTTCCGACATTCCGAGTCCTTCCTTCCGACATTCCGAGTCCTTCCTTCCGACATTCCGAGTCCTTCCTTCCGACAGAAAAAGTTCTTCCATCCGACAGGACACAAACGAATGTCCGACGTACCACCAACCGACAGCCCCAAAGCCAGAAGAACCGACAGCCCCAGCACCACAACAGACTAAGACTAAAACACTTACATTTTCAAGCTTGACTTTTTACAATTTGAACTTTGTTTGCGTAGATATGAATTCTGAAAGAAGTATGAGGGTCTTGTATGACTTTATACTTCTCCCATAGTTCATGTCTGTCAAACTTACCTGCCATGGACTCTTTCATAAGTTCCATGAAATCGTCTTCGGACAATCCGGGGAAAAGTATGATATCAGTAAGTATTCTCTTTACATCCTTACTTAAACTCTTTGCTGTCTGTACACAAATGACAACAGAGATGTTAAAGTGTCTGAGCTTCTTAAGAATTCGACACATGTCTTGTTCTCTGTTCTTTAACAAAGGATGAGAAGCAAAGTCATCTAAGATAAGAAGACACCTATGAGGGTATGTCTTCCAATCGTAAGATTGCAATTTCTTCGAAATGTATTCTATCTCTTTCTGTTTGTTTCTGAAGTGTTTCTTCTCTAATATTCTCTGCATTTCCTCATTTGGGTCTTTAAACTTAGAATTGACATACTCATTTATAGCATTGTACTTCAAAACTCTTCTTTGGTACTTCTTTATCCAATCTAACAACTCAGAGTCTTTTATACATACTAACTTAGACTTCTTTATAATATCTTTGAACGAATTTACGGTTTGGTCAAATTGACCAGAAGTACTACAAATGACTACTAACTCATAAAATGGGTTCTTCTCATCTAGTTCTTGTTGTTGTGCAGCCATTTTAAGATAAGTGAAAGTCTTACCCGACCCAGGTGGTGCGATTAGACCTGTTATACCATTCTGAGCAAATAAGAACTTGTCATGTATAGGCTTTATCTGAGCATTTTCTAACTTCCTCTTGTTCTTGTTTAAAACATTCTCAAATTTCTTGTCAATGTCAGCAAACTTTTTTTCTAACATATTTTTAGAAAAATTAAAATTTTTATCTTTTTGAAAATGTCTAGCGATTTCGCTATCTATATTCGAGACAAACTTTTTGACAGCAAAACATCTGTCGACCATAAAATCTTACATAGTGTAAACAAGAAAGGTGAATTTGTTCTAAAGTTCTGTTTCTGGGAATATGACAAGAACCATAATTACAAAGAGCAGTCTTAAAATTTGTCAATGACAGACTTGTTGACAGAGATGACACGATTGGAAAGATGAAGTCCAACAAAAGTTCTTAGAATGCAAAGAAGACACATGCGCTGTTCTTGAAGATGAAATAGAAAACAGAATAGATGAGCTATTACAGGACAAAGAACTTTTACAGAAATATGGTTCTGAGAAATTTGACATAACTCCACCAGAAAAGAAGAAGAAAGGAAAGAAAGAGAAAAAAGTAGAAGAGAAGAAAGAACCTGAACCAGAGCCAGTTCCAGAGAAAAAGAAATTTGACATGTAAAAATAAAATTTTATTTTTAGAACATTTCTGGGTCAATGTCAATGTTCTCTTCCTCTTTAGGAGCAAACACTGGTTTAGACTCTAAAATCTTTTTACCCAATTTACCTTGAACTTCAACTATCTTAGACTCATAATATTCATAGTCGTCTGCTTTCTTTGGTTCATAAGGTATAACAAGTTTGTATGCTTTGCCTTCTTTAAGGTTTGAAAACCTTCTGTCAAAACTTTCTTTGACTGTTAACAAACCTTCTATGTCTAAGTCTTCAAAAGTTGCACCACTTTTTCTAACAACAGCAAACTTAACTGGTGCAATGTTCCAAACTTTGTCAAATGTAGACTTTTCAAAATTATAGAAGTAAACATTCAAATATGCGAATGGAGCTAACTTATCTTTGACTTCTGTCATGTACTTATTTACTGAGATGAATTTTGCCATCTTTTCTATCGGATAAAAAAATATTTTTTTTTAAATTTACTCAGAAAAATTTTTCTTTGTATATACGCCGTTCTGTATGTCTAAAAGATTTTTGACATTTGCCAAGAATGTTCGTTTAGACGCTGCCATATAACCATATTCTTGACAATATTGTTTATACGAATCGTACAATGACCTTTCATCTAATGACACAAAGTCAGTTTCATCTACGAACAGTTCATATACACTCTTGTTTGCTTCTAACAATGTTTGTCTCTCTTCGGTATATGGAATTTGTCTTGGATTGAACTTTGAAATATCTAATGTCATAAAATATGAGAACAAGTGGTTGTAAAAGTTAGGTGTCAAAGTTTCTGCTAAGTCGTCAAAATATTCTGTATCTTGCATATGAGAATCTGACGTTCTGACAACTACATATCTTCTGTCAGAACTTTCTAACTTCATCGGAACAGCATTGTTTGAAACCATAATGAAGTTTGCAACATTTTCACAAACTCTTTGGTCTTTATATTTTCTTTCAACAACTCCAACTTTGTCTGTTATAAGACTCTTCAAAGCATCTGAGTTCAAAACTTTTGTTGTATCTATACTTTGAAGTTCGTTACATACTATAAGTTTCATATTCTCTATTGAGGAGTTAAACTTGCCACAGATGTTTTCTAAGTTTGTCATATTCGGGTTCGAATAACCTTCTAATAGTTTGCATAAGATATCTGTAAAGAAAGTATTCTTACCTGTTCCTTGTTTTCCAATTATAATGAGAGCAGTTTCATTTTTAGCACTTGGATGTTGTAAGATGTTTGCAAACCAACATAAGATATACTCATAAACCTTTTCGTTTCCATTGCATATAATTTCTTTGACATGGTCTAACCAAGCTTCTATAATATTTTCTTTCCATTCTACTTGTTCGTATTTATATCCAGTGAAGATAGAATAGAAGTTTGGAGAAGGTGTATAGAACTTTATACCTCGAACTGAAAAATCTTCTAACTTTGACAATAAGATATCCCAAGCATCTAACATCTTCATGCCAACTTGTACGACTTTTATTTTCTTAAGTTTCTGTCTACATTCTTGTTCTGAAACTATAGGGTGTCCAAAGGTGCGTTTAGCACAGCGCTCTATATGAGACTATTAAAGGAGATATATGCTGATTATAAATATATAATAAAAAATATGAATATATGTATATGATGAGTATGTTGTATTTTGGCGCCATGCCGGGATATAAAATGAATTTTGAGACAAGAGGCGGTTTCGCGGGAAATTTTGGCGGGATTTTTTTCATTTTTTAATGAATCATAAAGAAAACATCCTCGCTCTTGCAAAAAAATGCAAAGACTGTAAAAAAATCTACGAGACATTGGTAAAATGCTTCGGTATGGATGCTCTTAGCTATTCCACTGTAACGTATCATGTTAGGATGTATCACTTCATGAACAAAAAGGCGCCCATCATAAAAATTGACAAAAAATCGCCGGATCAAAGAAAAATCAAAGCAATTCTTCAAGCGCTAGATGAAGACCCAAGAGCATCACTCAGAAGGATAGAGGAGATGACAAAGATACCACGTACAACAGTCAGTTATTATCTGCACAATTATTTGAACTACAAACTAGCGTATACACGTTGGGTTCCGCACAACCTTAATTCAGTTCAAAAAAAATCTAGAGTCCAATCTTCGAAAGAGCTCCTCTCTATATTGGGTGCGTATCAATCCAAGAAGTTTCGCTTTTTAGTAACAGGGGACGAGTCTTGGTTTCAATATGCAACAGAAGCCAAAATCATGTGGATCCCGAAGGATGAAAATCCGCAAACATTCCCGAAGAAAAAAATTGACACACCAATGATGATGTTGTCGGTTTTTTGGGGCGTGAATGGCATCATCGCAATTGATATTCTTCAAAAACCTAATACGATGAATGCTCAGTATCTAATTGACAATGTTCTTACTCAAATTATCAATTCTGATGAGTTTGAGAAATCCAAACAACAAAAACAAAAGTTTGCAATTCATTTTGATAATTCAAAAGTTCACAAAAGTCATAAGGTAATGAATTACTTGGTGGAAAACAATGTCAAAGTTGTTCCAAACCCAATTTATTCACCTGATATTGCACCCTCTGACTTTTATTTATTCGGCACGCTAAAAAAGAGAGCTGAAGGACGCGAATTCGCGAGTCCAGATGATCTTGAAAATTTTGTAAGAGAGCAATTTGAGCAATTTTCTCATGATGATTTAAAGCGTGTCTTTCAAGCCTGGATCGATCGCTGCGAACGCGTGATTGAATCCAATGGTGATTATATTTAAATAAACTTTATATATATGTAACTTGTTTATTTCTATTCGCAGTATTCAGGTTTGTGCTAAACACACCTTTGGACACCCTATATTGTTGCTCTTGGTTTGTTAAAGACAACATCCCATTCTTTCATAACATAACATTCTGGGGCAGAGTCAACATAAATGACTAAACGTTTCAAATTCTCGACTGCTTTGTTATAGTCTCGAAATGGACACATATTTCTGAATGCTTGGAAGTCATAAAAATCTGAAACATCTATTCTGTACATTTTTATAAAAATAAAAAAATTATTTTTTTTTATTCTTGACTTTGTTGTTGCATTTGTTGCATTTGTTGTTCTTGAGCTATTTGTTGTTGAAGTTGTTCTTGTAATACAATACTTTCACCAGTTGCATCTTCCAATTCGAAACTTTCTGCCGTCATTGACAAATACATAGGACATAAAAGTTTTACAGGAACAAAGTTTGCGTCAACTAATGTCAACGTTATACTTGCCAAAGTGTTTGAGTTCACTAAGGTTGAAAATTCTGCATTCGAATGAACAATAGGCAAACCAGCAGAGAAAGTATTGTTTATACGCATAAGTATCTTTTGGTCATAATAGTTTCTGTCGACATTCGAATAACACTTTGAACCTAAGTTTGAAACAATATATAAGATTGGTGTGCTTAATGTCAATGGAATAGACATTCCTTGTATGACACCTTTTCCTGTTATAGGAAACTGTTGGTAGTAAAAACCAGAAATAAGTTTTGTATTATAGCTCATATCGTTTATAGTAAACTCAGTCGGACATCCAAACATAATGAAACCTGCTCTAGTTGCAGCACATGTTACACTCGTACGTAAAGTATTAAATAAGTCAACAAAACCTGTTGGTGGTATATCTGAGTAAGTATCTTCAAAGGAGTATTTTTTACCATTCACAACAATAAAGTCTTCTGGTGTCAAAAGAGCAAAACAGGCTTTAGTCGTCATTGTGTTTAAGGTTAGTTTACAATATCGTCCTTGAGGACTTTGTAAGTTTGTTGTTATAGAATTATATGACTCAGGGTTTTTAGTCGTAATAGTATAAACCATTATGTCTTCTGCCATTTTACTTAGCAAATAAATTTTAATGAAATGTTGTGGTCGTCAAATATTTTTATGACGTCTGGGAAACTATATTTTAAGTTCAACGTTTCACCTCCTTTCATAACGTATATCTTGTCAATGACATTATATGAAACACCACAGCAAGCAATGTCGGGTTCTATTTCTTTGATGTTTATATCGTCTGCCTCTGTCAAAAGTTTCAATAGTTCTTTCAAAATTTCATGAGGTGCGATGACATATGAGTTCACTTTTACAGGGTTGTGCTCAACCAAGTTTAACATTATACTTAAAGCTTGACAAATCTTCTCCTGAGTTTGAAGTTTGTCTTTCAGTTGTTGGTAGTCGTTTCGAATATCTGCAACAGAACTTAAGTCTCTGTTAACTTCAGGATATGTTGGTTCTTTTACAGGAACAATTGTTATACCATCTTCGTCTTCGTATGGTTTCCCCACTTCAACATCTCTGTCTTTGACATTGACAACAACACTTTGACTGTTTGTTTGAGTTGGTGAATTTAACTTCACATCTGCCACCGCCATTAAACCTTTTGAAACACTTACGCTTCTATTTTTCGGAAATGACATTTTACTTAGAATAAAAAGATGGACGTATTCGGATATCTTATTGAATTGAAGCAGAACAAAGTTTATACTCACAAACAATACAAATACATTGACAGAATAGTTCTTTACACAAACAATGGAAAATGTTATAGAATAGCAGTCTTTGCTGAACCTAAATATTTTCATAAAGCAAAGAAAGTTGGTATAACCGAGATGGTGAAAGTTCTTGAAGCAGACAAAAATATAACTTCAAAACTTACAGATATTTCTAAAGGAAAGTTTATAATACAATATTATGTCAAAACTGGCGTACTGTCAATATTTGACGGAGAGAAGTCAGTTCAAGAACAACTTACTGACCTGCTGCCAAAATCTGCTCGATGGAAGCTGTCGTTATGCCAATCTGAGGAGCCCCAGCAGGTTTCATCGAACGAATCTTCAAAAGAGCATCTTCCGTGAAAAGTGCTATTGGTTTTGTAAACTTCTTTGCTTTCAATTCATCTGGACCGTCTCTGTCACCAGTATATTGTATTTGTACAGTACCAACAGTTGAAATACCACCCATAAAGTCTTCTGAGTCAGCAAATGGAATGCCAAGCCAAAAGTTTGAACGGTCTCCATTTGTATATTGAGTTTTTTGACTTCCTGTATGAGTCCATACTTTCACATATGGCATAATAGAACTTTGCATTTCAGGGTTAATGGTTGTTGTGAAGTTGTTGTTAAAGTTCATAGCATCTAATGTCAAGTTGTATGACCTCATATCCTCAACTGTAGAATATTCTTCTCTTGGATAATATTTGCCATCTATGTTTATATGATATTTAATACCAGGGTTGTAGAAACAAGAATAGTCATTTATAGTTCGTCTGAACAGTACAAACAGAGTATCTGCATGTTTCATTGCAGTTGTTAAAGCAATATCTGTTCTTGCACCTGGGTCAGCACTTTGGTTTCCAACTTCACCTGCAAAGTCTTTGACAGATATTTGGTGTATAGGGAACATAAGTGGAACTGCAATATATTTGGCAGCTAAAGCATTTGAAATATCTGGGTCCAACATATAGACTGCAAGTCTGCTTTCTATTCTCTTGCATTCAAATTTTTCGCATGTGAACTTAACTGGGTCCCAAGCAGTTCCAGCAGCATTGAAATAATAGTTTACTTCAGTGTTGAAGTTTGAGAAACCAAAGTCTAAGTCAACTTTGTCTTTGCAATATTCGGCGAATGACGTTTGATTTGTTCCCTTTACGTCTGTAAGAGTGAATGGGTCTTGTGTTGGTGCAATGACTAAGTTATTTTTGCTTGGAGTAAGTTCAATAGAAATTTTTCCTGCCCAGTTTGGCAAGTATCTTAAAAACCTGAAGATGAGGAAAGATGACAAAGGAACTCTAAGTTTCAGTTTTACTTTGGTTACTGCTGCTGCAGTTTGTCCAGAAAGGTCAACATAAACTCCTGGAACGTTAGGGTCAAGTCTTCTTATTTTCTCAATAGTTGCATACTGGTCTGTTTGTTCTCTAGCTTGTGGTTGTACTGAGTTTCTCAAAGCGAACCATTCATAGTTTGCCCATGTTACTGTTTGAACTAAGTCAGAGTTAGAATATATCTTATATCCCATGAAAACTTCTGGAGCATATTGGTATCCGACATAGAAAATTCCATTGCAACCTTTCTTGTCAGACAACTTGGCAGAAGGTTTTATTTCAATGTCTTGTTCCACGTATAAGAAAGAGTTGTCAATAGAAATTATATGAAACCTGTCGCAAGCAATATCTACTGTTGTTGAAGAACCTTCTCCAAACTCACCTACGTTTCCATAAGAAACAGCAGTTGTATATTCGTAAGTTCCAGGAACTATTTCTGACCTTCTAATGGCATTGTCGCATTCGTTATACCATTCGGAAACATTTCCATTCATAGCATCCAAAACTGTTGGCGTTATATTCTGAGCGGCGTACATTTCATATGAGTAAAAATATAGAATAGTTGGATTTATATGTCATAATAGAACCCACGTGGACCAAGCTTTACTTTCTTCCTGACTGAGTTTTTAACTCTTCTTTTTCCTTCATTGCCCTCTGCTTCAAGTTGTTGCATCTTTGCATTATGTTCATCTAGTATGTTGCAAATTTTCCATGCCCTTTTTGCCTTTTGGCTCTGGTCGCCCATCTCAGGTAACCTATATCCTAGAAAGAGTTTGTCATAGTCTGTATTTGAGTCTTCGCGTATTGTTTGCATGACTCTTTCCTGAGTTTCCGGTTCAAGCTCTTCAAACAGTGCCTGTCCATATGGAATATGCTCGTTTCCAAATATATGTTTTTGTAGCCATTCTGGTTTTCTTTCCATGTTACCAACTAATATATTTTTGTGAATGGGAAAGCTTTTACCCAATCTTTCAGTCTTGCGTCGTTTATTTCTGTAGTTGGTTTTATTTTGTCAAGGAACATGTTTTTCAATACTAACATTTCATTTGGTACTGTCAATTTGAGTTTTCTTAAATATTCATCCCTTCTCAGTTCATTGTCTGCAAAGTAAGTTTTTATGACATTTTGCAAACTTTCATTTGCAAGGTCATGTACAATAGGTTCTCTTCCTTCTCTCTCCCTAACTGTCTTTCTAAACTCTTCACCAAATATACCATCTCTATGGTTCTGTGTAGTTCTTTGAGATAAATGTTCTAGAACGTCAGGTGTTATATTTCCATCAGCCATGTTCATTTCATACTGGTCCAAAATATCTGCATGTTTCATATCTTTCAATGGCATTAAAGCCGCGCTTAAAATACCAGCTATATCTCGTTCACCATTGACTTCCATTGCGTCTACAACTTCTTGGAATTGAGGTTGTAAGTTTATGAACCACCTATCCGGGTTAGCTTTATGACCCCATCTCATTGTAGTTCCATCGTCTGCAGAAACAAAAGTAGGTTTGTTTCCATCTTGGTTAGGTTCTGAATGAACTTTAAACAATGTTTCATTTCTATATGTTTTCTTGAAATTTAACCTTTTATTTTCACCGAGTTCATCCGAAGATTGAACGTTAAATGCTCGTAAGTAAAAAGGGTTGTTGTATTTGTGTACATTTTCTTTCAGTACTTTCATTCTATGCTGAATATTTTCATCTGGTGTTGGAGTCTTTTGTATGTCGGCAAACATTTTTCGATATTCTTCTACTATGTCAGCCGAATTTTTTTTAGACTCTTGGAAATATTCCATATTCTCCGCATACTCTTGTTGAGGGTCAAGATTTTTCGGCTGTTCCAAATCTTCATCTAGTTCTGTGAAGTTAGTTTCCAAAGGAAGGACTTGTTCGTTTCCTTCAGGCTCTTCTAGCTGTTGTTGCTGAACTATTTCTTCCATGTCTGGTTGTATCTGAACTTCTTCCTGTGGAGTTTCTTGTACCTCATCTGCTGGCATTTCATATATTCCGAGACCGTTTTCAACAATTTCCCTATCTACGTCATCCGCATTCATAAGCTTTTGTTCTTTCGTTCCGTCTCTATTTTTTACGCGTTTCATGACGAAAGTTGAATTGTCATTTAGCTCTGACATCAAATATCTCGGAGTAAATTCATCCATGTCATTTGGATGATATGCTATTAAATCATATCCCTTAGCGAGCTTGTATTTTCCAGGTTTGAGATTATATCCGTTTTGGTGCTGAGCCATAAAGCTAAATAGGTTCGGGTCAGTATTTCCATCCTTGAACTTTCCAATAGCTTCTTTATATCTGTCACTAAAGTCAACAGTATCTGGGAAACCACACTCTTCTTTAAGCATTTTTAAGAATTCTTGGTTTCCTTGTTCTCTACTTCTTTTATGTCCTTGCTCTGTTTGTGGTTGTTGTTGTGCAGGGTTTTGAACTGTTGGTTGCTGTGCTGGTTGTTGTGTTGGTTGTTGTGCTGGTTGTGGAGGTGGTTGTTGTGCTGGTTGTTGTGCATGCCTGTGTCTGTGTCCATGTGACGATGTAAATGTTCTAGGTAGTCCTGGTGCAGGTGCTTCTCTTGGAGGGTTTGGTGGTATATAAGTTCCACCAGCTGGCACATATGTTCCATCTGCAGCGTAATGTCCTACCTGACTTTTCGTTTTTAAGAAAGCATTTACTAGGTCTGTTTTGGTCTGTTGTAACTCTTTTTCTTGACTTTTCACAACAGTTGCTCTAACGGCGTCATAGGCACTTTGAACTGCCTGTCTCGTTGCTGCATCTGTTATTTTCGTCATATTTTGTGCTACTTCTTTTAACTCTTTGTCGAAACCTTCAGACTTCAGTTTCTTTCCAGATGAGAAGTCGTTCACTTGTTTCACCTTACTATGAAGAGCTTCGAAAGCGTTCTTAAAGTCAGCATTCATTAAAGCTTCATTTGAACTGTCTTCATCCGCTTGTATTTTTGTCCTTATTGACCCTATGAGTTGGGCTGCTTTAGCGTTGGCTTGGGCATCTAACCAGTCATTATTAGCTTTTATATATTCTGCGCTTTTCATTGCCTTTTGCATGGCTGCGTCGTTATTTTTACTTTCTTGTGCTAAGTTTTCATACTGTACGGTTTGGTTTTGCAACTGTAAAAGTTTTTCTGCCTTTACATTTGCTTCAACTTCTTTTTTATACTCATCGCTATCCATATATGTCTTCAGGGCTTTTTGTTTTATTTCTTCATCTTTCAGTACTTTATATTGAGTAGTATGGTTTTTCAAATTTATAACATCTTGTTCCATTTTTGCTACTTCTGCTGCTTTTTCTGACACTTTTTTCGCATATTCCTCTGTACTTAGTTCTTTCAGTTGTTCTTCTTTCTTCTTTTTCTCTACGTTTAACTCATTGAGTTTCTTTGTGTGTCTGTCATATTCTAGTTTCTTTTCGTTTTCACTTATTTGTTTCTGTATGTCTATGTTTGACTTTTTGACATCTGCTATTTGATTTTTGAGTGAACTCAAATTCATTTGACTTTGAGGGTTATAGGCTGTTCCGTCTGCAGCTCCACCATAGCCTGTCATTTTCGCTAAAAGTGCCGCTCTTAAACCTCCACTCTGTGCACCAATAACTCGGTTTAAAAGCATAGGGTTGCTTGACATTTGTTGCAGCATAGTGGGGTCATTCATCATTTGTTGTTGCAACTGTTGTTGTGGTGTCAGTTTTACTATTGGATGTTTCAATGCTCTCTTCCTCTTACGTATATTCTTACGTAGCTTACGTGGCATTTTAAGTGAAGTTAAAAAGCGGCTTTTGACAGATGTTTATATGACACTTTTGTTCAGCACAAAAAACTACTCGGTCAAAGTGTTGTCATTTTTGTAAAATAACCGTCCTATCTCCGTGCCTATGACGAAGAAGTCTTGAAAATTCAAGAGGGTAGAAAAGAGGTTAGAAAAGAGGTTATATCTAACCTTCTACCCTAAACATTATTTTTGTCTGATTTTACGAAGAAGTCTTGACAAAACATTTACGAAGAAGTCTTGACAAAACATTTACGAAGAAGTCTTGACAAAACATTTACGAAGAAGTCTTGACAAAACATTTACGAAGAAGTCTTGACAAAACATTTACGAAGAAGTCTTGACAAAACATTTACGAAGAAGTCTTGACAAAACATTTACGAAGAAGTCTTGACAAAACATTTACGAAGAAGTCTTGACAAAACATTTACGAAGAAGTCTTGACAAAACATTTACGAAGAAGTCTTGACAAAACATGAAAACATATATAATTTGTGAAAAGCTCCTGGAAGACCCGTATATATAAGACCTTCATTTATACTAAACATCTTCGGGGGCTAGAAGGCACGAAGTGCCTGGAAGCCATCCCCCAAGAAAAAAAAAACTTCATTATACTCATTCATCCTCAGGGCTAGAAGGCACGAAGTGCCTGGAAGCCCCACTACCTTTTTTTTTTTTTTTTTTTTTTTTTTTTTTACGAACTTTAACACAAGTTTTTTGATCCAATAGAAAATTGAATTCTTTGAATAAATAAAATATTTTATGTATTAACATATTAAATTTCCTAATTATTTTTTCTTCTTGGGAAAATTTTTGAATTCGAATAGAAAATTCAATAAATTGAAATTGGGTTGAAAGAATTCTCCATATTAACTTGTCATATATTTCAGATCATATAAATTAAGTTAATTAAATTTTTTAAAAACCTTAATAGGATAAAAAAAAAGAATTTACACTCTCTCACTTTGAAAACGTAGAAAATGCCAATCTATTGGTATACATTTTAGTTTTGTTAAGTTTACAAAACGATTACTCTAGATTTTAAAGATTTATCAAGAATTTAGAGAATATCCTTCTCAAAACAACTTTAATAGCGAAGGATTAGTATTGAATCGGATTTGTAACATAATTATAGTACATTACAATACAATTTCTCCGACTTTTAAATATTTTTGAAATATTTACAAAATATGCTCTTTCTATCATCGATACTTTAATACAGAGCAAATTTAGTAAATGTCATCACGTTATTTTTTCATAAATCGTTTTCGAACTTTTGAAATATTTATTTTAAACCAGTTTTCTACATTTAATATGTGAATTATATCAAAAGTAGATGGGCGATACTTGTAAATCTATTTAAACTATTAGTTTGCTATTATTGAAGAACTTTATAATTTTTTTTTCTTATGTATGGAATTAAAGATAATTTTGCCGATTCCAACTGGTTTTTCTATATGAGTTAAATATGCCAAGTGAAATTGGACTTGCCAATATTGTAAATTGAAGTATGGACTATATATCGATTTTCATTGATTGATGAATAACTCGGAGTAATGTAATTGTTGATAATGAAAAATAGTTTTCAATTGCTGGTAAGGGCCAATGTAAAAAAAAAAAAAAAAAAAAGGTAGTGGGGCTTCCAGGCACTTCGTGCCCTCTAGCCCCGAAGATGTTTAGTATAAATGAAGTTTTTATTCGGAAAATTCTTAGTCTTCTGGTGTGAATTCGGAGGACTCTTCTTCTTCCTCCTCCTCTTCTTCCTCTTCTTCGTCATCGTCGGCGTAGTGGAGGAGGACGTAGTTCATCCAAATTCTGTATGGACGTCCTGATTTGGATTTAAATGAGATGGACATATTTTGTGTGAGTGTTATTTCAGTTTCGATAAAGAGTTGGTGTGCTGGTTTGAATATATGTTCGACGTAGGAGAATTTGTGCAACTCATCTTCTCCCAATTCTGTATTGATACAGACTTCGATGAAGTCACCACTGAGAATGTCTTCACCTGTGGGCATATCCACAACAATTAAATGAACGACACAATAGTTGTGAAATTCATTAGTAGGAAATACTGTTGCAGGCGTATTATATGAGGGGAAAAATGTTTTTTCTTCCCCAAATTCATCTGCTACTTCATCTTCATCGTATCCGTTGTTAAAAGCTTTAAATTCATGTACAATTTGAGCAAATTGTTGACGGAGATTTGGTGGCATACGTAAGCAAGCTTGTAACAATGTCCTACCTTCCACACACTCAGCAAATATGGGAAGGTAGGAACATATAATGTCCGTCAATTGGTCCTGGTTGGGGACCAATTGACAGAGTTTTGTGTATGCCGTTATTGTTTCTTTAACGGTATTTGTGTAGATACGGTTATATGGAGTATTTCCCTGGTTGTTAAGGGAAAAATACTCATCCGATTGTAATTTCAATCTTGACCTCAACTCTTTGTTCGGTATTCTTTGGTCTATTCTTAGAGCTGTATTTGTTCGTGCGGGCTGTGGTTTTAAAACATTCGAGTCAAGTTTTAATTGCTTCGAATTGGATGTCGATTTGAATTGGGAGTCTTTTGAGTTCTCCTGAGCTTGGTTCTGTATTAAAGACTGAATAGCAGTGTCAGCTTCTTGTTTTTCGAGATAGTATTCTATTGAATTGGGCTTCACTGTTCGAGACGCGTACATTATGAAAAATGAACTGTTTTTTTCGGACTCATAGAAAAGTTTGAATAAACCGTTTTCGTCAACGGTAACCCCCTCTATTTTTTTATTTTATTTAATAGTTACCGTTGGAAACCGTTCCATCTCAAATATTGAATGAACTATAAACGTTTTTTGTTTTCTATATATACTTTTTTGTCCAACGGTAAAACTTTTTACACAACGGTTTTTGAGAGTCGTCGCCGTTGACTTTTTTGTAGAGCACTCAAAATAGTATAACTTTGTCCGGACAAGTAAGGGTCTATCGTCGCTACAGGAAAAGTTACAGGCGTTCCAAGGAAGTATACTTTGAGAAGCCTTTCCCCTTATAGAATGAGATAGGACGGTTATTTTACAAAACTGACAACACTTTGACCGAGTAGTTTTTTGTGCTGAACAAAAAGTGTCATATAAACATCTGTCAAAAACCGCTTTTTAACTTCACTTAAAATGCCACGTAAGCTACGTAAGAATATACGTAAGAGGAAGAGAGCATTGAAACATCCAATAGTAAAACTGACACCACAACAACAGTTGCAACAACAAATGATGAATGACCCCACTATGTTGCAACAAATGTCAAGCAACCCTATGCTTTTAAACCGAGTTATTGGTGCACAGAGTGGAGGTTTAAGAGCGGCACTTTTAGCGAAAATGGCAGGCTATGGTGGAGCTGCAGACGGAACAGCTTATAACCCTCAAAGTCAAATGAATTTGAGTTCACTCAAAAATCAAATAACAGATGTCAAAAAGTCAAACATAGACATACAGAAACAAATAAGTGAAAACGAAAAGAAACTAGAATATGACAGACACACAAAGAAACTCAATGAGTTAAACGTAGAGAAAAAGAAGAAAGAAGAACAACTGAAAGAACTAAGTACAGAGGAATATGCGAAAAAAGTGTCAGAAAAAGCAGCAGAAGTAGCAAAAATGGAACAAGATGTTATAAATTTGAAAAACCATACTACTCAATATAAAGTACTGAAAGATGAAGAAATAAAACAAAAAGCCCTGAAGACATATATGGATAGCGATGAGTATAAAAAAGAAGTTGAAGCAAATGTAAAGGCAGAAAAACTTTTACAGTTGCAAAACCAAACCGTACAGTATGAAAACTTAGCACAAGAAAGTAAAAATAACGACGCAGCCATGCAAAAGGCAATGAAAAGCGCAGAATATATAAAAGCTAATAATGACTGGTTAGATGCTCAAGCCAACGCTAAAGCAGCCCAACTTATAGGGTCAATAAGGACAAAAATACAAGCGGATGAAGACAGTTCAAATGAAGCTTTAATGAATGCTGACTTTAAGAACGCCTTCGAAGCTCTTCATAGTAAGGTGAAACTAGTGAACGACTTCTCATCTGGAAAGAAACTGAAGTCTGAAGGTTTCGACAAAGAGTTAAGAGAAGTAGCACAAAATATGACGAAAATAACAGATGCAGCAACGAGACAGGCAGTTCAAAGTGCCTATGACGCCGTTAGAGCAACTGTTGTGAAAAGTCAAGAAAAAGAGTTACAACAGACCAAAACAGACCTAGTAAATGCTTTCTTAAAAACGAAAAGTCAGGTAGGACATTATGCTGCAGATGGAACATATGTGCCAGCTGGTGGAACTTATATACCACCAAACCCTCCAAGAGAAGCACCTGCACCAGGACTACCTAAAACATTTACATCGTCACATGGACACAGACACAGGCATGCACCAAAACCAACACAACAACCAACACAACAACCAACACAACAACCAACAGTTCAAAACACTGCACCACAACCAACAGTTCAAAACACTGCACCACAACCAACAGTTCAAAACACTGCACCACAACCACCTCCACAACCAGCACAGCAACAACCACAAACAGAGCAAGGACATAAAAGAAGTAGAGAACAAGGAAACCAAGAATTCTTAAAAATGCTTAAGGAAGACTATGGTTACCCAGATACTCTTGACTTTAGTGACAGATATAAAGAAGCTATTAGAAAGTTCAAGGAAGGAAATACTGACCCGAACCTATTTAGCTTTATGGTTCAGCACCAAATGGATATAATTTCAAACCTGGAAAATACAAGCTCGCTAAGGGATATGATTTAATAGCATATCATCCAAATGACATGATGAATTTACTCCGAGATATTTGGTGTCAGAGCTAAATGATAATTCAACTCTCTTCATGAAACGCGTAAAAAATAGAGACGGAACGAAAGAAGAAAGGTTTATGAATCCGGATGACTTAGATAGGGAACTTTTAAAAACGGTCTCGGAATATATGAAATGCCAGCAGATGAGGTACAAGAAACTCCACAGGAAGAAGTTCAGATACAACCAGACATGGAAGAAATAGTTCAGCAACAACAGCTAGAAGAGCCTGAAGGAAACAACAAGTCCTCCTTTGGAAACTAACTTCACAGAACTAGATGAAGATTTGGAACAGCCGAAAAATCTTGACCCTCAACAAGAGTATGCGGAGAATATGGAATCTTTCCAAGAGTCTAAGAAAAATTCAGCTGACATAGTAGAAGAATATCGAAAAATGTTCGCCGACATACAAAAGACTCCAACATCAGATGAAAATATCCAGCATAGAATGGAAGAACTGAAAGAAATGTACACAAATACAACAATCCTTTTTACTTACGAGCATATAACGTTCAATCTTTGGATGAACTCGGTGAAAATAAAAGGTTAAATTTCAACAAAACATATAGAAATGAAACATTGTTTAAAGTTCATTCAGAACCTAGCCAATATGGAAACAAACCTACTTTTGTTTCTGCAGACGATGGAACTACAATGAGATGGGGTCATAAAGCTAATCCGGATAGGTGGTTCATAAACTTACAACCACAATTCCAAGAAGTTGTAGACGCAATGGAAGTGAATGGTGAACCAGATGTAGCTGGTATTTTCAGCGCGGCTTTAATGCCATTGAAAGATATGAAAGATGCAGATATTTTGGACCAGTATGAAATGAACATGGCTGATGGAAATATAACACCTGACGTTCTAGAACATTTATCTCAAAGAACTACACAGAACCATAGAGATGGTATATTTGGTGAAGAGTTTAGAAAGAAAGTTAGGGAGAGAGAAGGAAGAGAACCTATTGTACATGACCTTGCAAACGAAAGTTTACAAAATGTCATAAAAACTTACTTTGCAGACAATGAACCGAGAAGGGATGAATATTTAAGAAAACTCAAATGGACAGTACCAAATGAAATGTTAGTATTGAAAAACATGTTCCTTGACAAAATAAAACCAACTACAGAAATAAATGACGCAAGACTGAAACATTGGGTAAAAGCTTTCCCATTCACAAAAGATATTGTTGGTAACATGGAAAGAAAACCAGAATGGCTACAAAAACATATATTTGGAAACGAGCTTATTCCATATGGACAAGCGCTGTTTGAAGAGCTTGAACCGGAAACTCAGGAAAGAGTCATGCAAACAATACGCGAAGACTCAAATACAGACTATGACAAACTCTTTCTAGGATATAGGTTACCTGAGATGGGCGACCAGAGCCCAAAGGCAAAAAGGACATGGGAAATTTACAACATACTAGGTGAACATGAGGCAAAGATGCAACAAAACTCAGTCAGGAAGAAAGTAAAGCTTGGTACGAGTGGGTTCTATTATGATATATAAATCCAACTATTCTATATTTTTACCCATATGAAATGTACGCCGCTCAGAATATAACGCCAACAGTTTTGGATGCCATGAACGGAAATGTTTCCGAATGGTATAACGAATGCGACAATGCCATTAGAAGGTCAGAAATAGTTCCTGGAACTTACGAATATACAACTGCTGTTTCTTATGGAAACGTAGGTGAGTTTGGAGAAGGTTCTTCAACAACAGTAGATATTGCTTGCGACAGGTTTCATATTATTTCTATTGACAACTCATTCTTATACGTGGAACAAGACATTGAAATAAAACCTTCTGCCAAGTTGTCTGACAAGAAAGGTTGCAATGGAATTTTCTATGTCGGATACCAATATGCTCCAGAAGTTTTCATGGGATATAAGATATATTCTAACTCTGACTTAGTTCAAACAGTAACATGGGCAAACTATGAATGGTTCGCTTTGAGAAACTCAGTACAACCACAAGCTAGAGAACAAACAGACCAGTATGCAAATATTGAGAAAATAAGAAGACTTGACCCTAACGTTCCAGGAGTTTATGTTAACCTTTCTGGTTCAGATGGAACTGCTGCCACTAAAGTAAAACTGAAACTTAGAGTTCCTTTGTCATCTTTCCTCATCTTCAGGTTTTTAAGATACTTGCCAAACTGGGCAGGAAAAATTTCTATTGAACTTACTCCAAGCAAAAATAACTTAGTCATTGCACCAACACAAGACCCATTCAGCATTACTGTAGCTGGAACTGGTGGAGCCAAGTTCTGTGACTTTTGCAAAGACAAAGTTGACTTAGACTTTGGTTTCTCAAACTTCAACAATGAAGTAAACTATTATTTCAATGCTGCTGGAACTGCTTGGGACCCAGTTAAGTTCACATGCGAAAAATTTGAATGCAAGAGAATAGAAAGCAGACTTGCAGTCTATATGTTGGACCCAGATATTTCAAATGCTTTAGCTGCCAAATATATTGCAGTTCCACTTATGTTCCCTATACACCAAATATCTGTCAAAGACTTTGCAGGTGAAGTTGGAAACCAAAGTGCTGACCCAGGTGCAAGAACAGATATTGCTTTAACAACTGCAATGAAACATGCAGATACTATGTTTGTACTGTTCAGACGAACTATAAATGACTATTCTTGTTTCTACAACCCGGTATTAAATATCATATAAACATAGATGGCAAATATTATCCAAGAGAAGAATATTCTACAGTTGAGGATATGAGGTCATACAACTTGACATTAGATGCTATGAACTTTAACAACAACTTCACAACAACCATTAACCCTGAAATGCAAAGTTCTATTATGCCATATGTGAAAGTATGGACTCATACAGGAGGTCAAAAAACTCAATATACAAATGGAGACCGTTCAAACTTTTGGCTTGGCATTCCATTTGCTGACTCAGAAGACTTTATGGGTGGTATTTCAACTGTTGGTACTGTACAAATACAATATACTGGTGACAGAGACGGTCCAGATGAACTGAGAGCAAAGAAGTTTACAAAACCAATAGCACTTTTCACGGAAGATGCTCTTTTGAAGATTCGTTCGATGAAACCTGCTGGGGCTCCTCAGATTGGCATAACGACAGCTTCCATCGAGCAGATTTTGGCAGCAGGTCAGTAAGTTGTTCTTGAACTGACTTCTCTCCGTCAAATATTGACAGTACGCCAGTTTTGACATAATATTGTAGATAAACTTCCTTTAGAAATATCTGTAAGTTTTGAAGTTATATTTTTGTCTGCTTCAAGAACTTTCACCATTTCAGTTATACCAACTTTCTTTGCTTTATGAAAATATTTTGGTTCAGCAAAGACTGCTATTCTATAACATTTACCATTGTTTGTATAAAGAACTATTCTGTCAATGTATTTGTATTGTTTGTGTGTGTAAACTTTGTTCTGCTTCAATTCGAAGAGATACTCGAATACGTCCATCTTTTTATTCTAAGTAAAATGTCATTTCCGAAAAATAGAAGCGTAAGTGTTTCAAAAGGTTTAATGGCGGTGGCAGATGTGAAGTTAAATTCACCAACTCAAACAAACAGTCAAAGTGTTGTTGTCAATGTCAAAGACAGAGATGTTGAAGTGGGGAAACCATACGAAGACGAAGATGGTATAACAATTGTTCCTGTAAAAGAACAACCAACATATCCTGAAGTTAGCAGAGACTTAAGTTCTGTTGCAGATATTCGAAACGACTACCAACAACTGAAAGACAAACTTCAAACTCAGGAGAAGATTTGTCAAGCTTTAAGTATAATGTTAAACTTGGTCGAACACAACCCTGTAAAAGTGAACTCATATGTCATTGCACCTCATGAAGTTTTGAAAGAACTATTGAAACTTTTGACAGAGGCAGACGATATAAACATCAAAGAAATAGAACCCGACATTAGTTGCTGTGGTGTTTCATATAATGTCATTGACAAGATATACGTTATGAAAGGAGGTGAAACGTTGAACTTAAAGTATAGTTTCCCAGACGTCATAAAAATATTTGACGACCACAACATTTCATTAAAATTTATTTGCTAAGTAAAAATGTCAAAACTTCTTGAAAGATGTTTGAAGAAAAATAATATAGACTTTATTTCATGTAAAGGACTTTACACACTTTTGAACGATATGAAAGACCCTGTTTTGTTTGTTCGTGTAGACAAAGGAAAGTTCTATGTCTTTACAAAATATTTGAACTTCTTAGACAGAGAACTTCAAGAAACGCCATGTGAAAGTTTAGATGAAGTTCTTCTCCACTTTCAGAAAAACTTTTAAATATATATAAATGGCAGAAGATATAATGGTTTATACTATTACGACTAAAAACCCTGAGTCATATAATTCTATAACAACAAACTTACAAAGTCCTCAAGGACGGTATTGTAAACTAACTTAAACACAATGACGACTAAAGCCTGTTTTGCTCTTTTGACACCAGAAGACTTTATTGTTGTGAATGGTAAAAAATACTCCTTTGAAGATACTTACTCAGATATACCACCAACAGGTTTTGTTGACTTATTTAATACTTTAAGTACGGGTGTAACATGTGCTGCAACTAGAGCAGGTTTCATTATGTTTGGATGTCCGACTGAGTTTACTATAAACGATATGAGCTATAATACAAAACTTATTTCTGGTTTTTACTACCAACAGTTTCCTATAACAGGAAAAGGTGTCATACAAGGAATGTCTATTCCATTGACATTAAGCACACCAATCTTATATATTGTTTCAAACTTAGGTTCAAAGTGTTATTCGAATGTCGACAGAAACTATTATGACCAAAAGATACTTATGCGTATAAACAATACTTTCTCTGCTGTTTGCCTATTGTTCATTCGAATGCAGAATTTTCAACCTTAGTGAACTCAACACATTGGCAAGTATAACGTTGACATTAGTTGACGCAAACTTTGTTCCTGTAAAACTTTTATGTCCTATGTATTTGTCAATGACGGCAGAAAGTTTCGAATTGGAAGATGCAACTGGTGAAAGTATTGTATTACAAGAACAACTTCAACAACAAATAGCTCAAGAACAACAAATGCAACAAATGCAACAACAAAGTCAAGAATAAAAAAAATATTTTTTATTTTTATAAAAATGTACAGAATAGATGTTTCAGATTTTTATGACTTCCAAGCATTCAGAAATATGTGTCCATTTCGAGACTATAACAAAGCAGTCGAGAATTTGAAACGTTTAGTCATTTATGTCGACTCTGCCCCAGAATGTTATGTTATGAAAGAATGGGATGTAGTCTTTAACAAACCAAGAGCAACAATAGTTTCAGAACAAGAATGTAGACAGAAACTTAAGAAAATAAAAGTTGTACAAGTTGGCATGAAGATGTTAGATGCTTGGGATATCTTATTGTCAAAGTTAGAAGATTTTTCAGTTGGTATAAAGTTCTATACACCTTCTCCAAACTTCTATTCTATCTTCACTGGATATAAATACGAACAAGTAGAATGGAAAGAAAATATTATAGAAGCTTGGTTAGACCATGTCAAAGAAATTATATGCAATGGAAACGAAAGAGTCTATGAGTATATCTTATGTTGGTTTGCAAATATCTTACAACATCCAAGTGCTAAAAATGAAACTGCTCTCATTATAATTGGAAAACAAGGAACTGGTAAGAATACTTTCTTTACAGATATTTTGTGCAAACTGTTAGAAGGTTATTCGAATCCGAATATGACAAACTTAGAAAACATCTGTGGCAAGTTTAACTCCTCAATAGAGAATATGAAACTTATAGTTTGCAATGAACTTCAAAGTATAGATACAACAAAAGTTTTGAACTCAGATGCTTTGAAGAGTCTTATAACAGACAAAGTTGGTGTTGTTGAAAGAAAGTATAAAGACTCAAGAGTTTGTGAGAATGTTGCAAACTTCATTATGGTTTCAAACAATACTGTTCCGATGAAGTTAGAAAGTTCTGACAGAAGATATGTAGTTGTCAGAACGTCAGATTCTCATATGCAAGATACAGAATATTTGACGACTTAGCAGAAACTTTGACATCTGACTTTTACAACCACTGTTCTCATATTTTATGACATTAGATATTTCAAAGTTCAATCCAAGACAAATTCCACATACGAAGAGAGACAAACATTGTTAGAAGCAAACAAGAGTGTATATGAACTGTTCATAGATGAAACTGACTTTGAGTGTTTAGATGAAAGGTCATTGTACGATTCGTATAAACAAATTGTCAAGAATATGGTTATATGACAGCGTCTAAACGAACATTCTTGGCAAATGTCAAAAGTCTTTTAGACGTACAGAATGGTGTATATACAAAGAAAATTTTTTCTGAGTAAATTTTAAAAAAAATATTTTTTATCCGATAGAAAAGATGGCAAAATTCATCTCAGTAAATAAGTACATGTCAGGACTTAAAGAAGAACTAGACCCATTCACATATTTGAATGTTTACTTCTACCATTTTGAAAAGTCTTCATTCAGCAAAGTTTGGAACATCGAACCAGTTAAGTTTGCTATTGTGACTAAAAATGGTGCGAAATTTGAAGACTTAGACATAGAAGGTTTGTTAGCAGTCAAAGAAGTTTTGACAGAAGGTTTTCAAACCTTAAAGAAGGCAAAGCATACAAACTTGTTATACCTTATGAACCAAAGAAAGCAGACGACTATGAATATTATGAGTCTAAGATAGTTGAAGTTCAAGGTAAATTGGGTAAAAAGATTTTAGAGTCTAAGCCAGTGTTTGCTCCTAAAGAGGAAGAGAACATTGACATTGACCCAGAAATGTTCTAAAAATAAAATTTTATTTTTACATGTCAAATTTCTTTTTCTCTGGAACTGGTTCAGGTTCTTTCTTCTCTTCTTCTACTTTCTTTTCTTCTTTTCTCTCTTCTTCTTTTCTGGTGGAGTTATGTCAAATTTGGCGCAACCATATTTATGTAAAAGTTCTTTGTCCTTTAATAGCTCATCTATTCTGTTTTTATTTCATCTTCAAGAACAGCGCATGTGTCTTCTTTGCATTCTAAGAAGTTTTGTTGGACTTCATCTCTCCAAGAGGCGTCATCTCTGTCAACAAGTCTGTCATTGACAAATTTTAAGACTTCTCTGCTTAATGTTTTATGGTTCTTGTCATATTCCCAGAAACAAAACTTTAGAACAAATTCACCTTTCTTGTTTACACTATGTAAGATTTTATGGTCGACAGATGTTTTGCTGTCGAAAAGCTTGTCTCGAATATAGATAGCGAAATCGCTAGACATTTTCTAAAAGATAAAAATTTTAATTTTTCTAAAAATATGTTAGAAAAAAAGTTTGCTGACATTGACAAGAAATTTGAGAATGTTTTAAACAAGAACAAGAAGAAGTTAGAAAATGCTCAGATAAAGCCTATACATGACAAGTTCTTATTTGCTCAGAATGGTATAACAGGTCTAATTGCACCACCTGGGTCGGGTAAGACTTTCACTTATCTTAAAATGGCTGCACAACAACAAGAACTAGATGAGAAGAACCCATTCTATGAGTTAGTAGTCATTTGTAGTACTTCTGGTCAATTTGACCAAACCGTCAATTCGTTCAAAGATATTATAAAGAAGTCTAAGTTAGTATGTATAAAGACTCTGAGTTGTTGGATTGGATAAAGAAGTACCAAAGAAGAGTTTTGAAGTACAATGCTATAAATGAGTATATAAATTCTAAGTTTAAAGACCCAAATGAGGAAATGCAGAGAATATTAGAGAAGAAACACTTCAGAAACAAACAGAAAGAGATAGAATACATTTCGAAGAAATTGCAATCTTACGATTGGAAGACATACCCTCATAGGTGTCTTCTTATCTTAGATGACTTTGCTTCTCATCCTTTGCTTAAGAATAGAGAACAAGATATGTGTCGAATTCTTAAGAAGCTCAGACACTTTAACATCTCAGTCGTAATATGTGTACAGACAGCAAAGAGTTTAAGTAAGGATGTTAAAAAATACTTACTGACATTATACTTTTCCCCGGATTGTCCGAAGACGATTTCATGGAACTTATGAAAGAGTCCATGGCAGGTAAGTTTGACAGACATGAACTATGGGAGAAGTACAAAGTCATACAAGACCCTCATACTTCTTTCAGAATTCATATCTACGAACAAAGTTCAAATTGTAAAAAGTCAAGCTTGAAAAATAAAGAGTTCATTTACTCTGCTTGTTTGAAGTTGTCAAAATACTCTGTTATTTTTTCCTTCAGTAGCGGTAAGTCTTCTTTGAAGGTAAGTATTGTACAACCTTTAATATCCTAGTGTGTTTGAGGTAACGTATCTTGAACTATTTGTTTCACATCTTCATTTGGGGTCATTGAAATCGGTAAGTTTTCGCGATAGAACCAATTTCTGTCAGATTTGTAAATCTTAGCAAGGTCGTAAAAGCTTTTGTTGTTTCTTCTGACTAAATGCAACATAACCATATCTCTGTCTTCTTCATTTTCCATCTCTTCAGTATAAATCATATACTTATAGTTCTTTTCCTTTCCTTTTGGTACCGAACGTGGTATTCTTTTCTGAATGCTTTTGTCTTTTGCTTCAAGCTTGTTCTCTAGCTCTTCACGTTCTTGTCTATGAATTTCGTCAAGAAGTCTGTAAATATACCAAGCATAACGAGGCGAAGCCCACATTGCAACAGCATTTACAAGAAGTCTATGTACATAATATCCTCTTAAATTTATTGGCAAATTTTTACGATTTTCATGTGTTTTATGCAAGGCCGAGAATTCTCGGTCTAGAGAAATTTCACTCAAAAGTTCTTGTGTGCTTCGGTTTTTGAACCAATCGTCTGCGTGTTTGGTATCTGGAGCAAAACATGCAGTCAAAATACTTTGCATTTGGTACATATCGTCTTTGACCGAACGAATTAGACGCAATTGTTTGTTAAACTGTATGTACTCGTATTCTTCATTTATAGCTTCATGGACTATAACTGTTGTTGTGTTCTCGGTTGTTGACATATCTGTCTTTATATTCCGGATAAAAAAATAAAAAAAATAAAAATAACTTTATTTTTTATTTCGGGAAAATTCATGAAAATTCAAGAGGGTAGAAATGAGGGTAGAAATGAGGTTAGATCTAACCTTCTACCCTAAATTATATTTTTACTGAATTCAGCAACAAAATTCAAATTGTAAAAAAGTCAAGCTTGAAAAATCTAAGTGTTTAGTCTTAGTAAGATGGTAGCTTCTTAAAGCAAATACCATTGCTGAGTTTTATGTACGTGAAGAGAAGTACAATGAATTCAATTACGAGTACAATTGCAATGACAACTAAGGCAACTATTTTTGTCTTTTGCCAGCAAGGGTACTTCTTCTCTTCCAATGGTTCGGCAGAACTATACTCACTCATGAGAAATGCCAAAACGGTTTAATAGAAAAAGTGTCATTTTTTCATGTCCGAAGACTCGAAGGTGCAACACTTCCAAAATACCGACGAACTCAGAAGAGCAGCATGGCAGTATGTTCTTGACAACTTCTTTGAGTTCTCCAGGAACACCTTGGAAAATGCTGAAGAACTCCGACACAGAGAATTTGGAGAAATTGCACTCCAATACTACCTTGACAAACAAAGGGTAAACAAAGGGTAAACAAAGGGTAAAATAAGACTAAAAACTTAACGTTTAAAAAGTGACATTTTTAATGAGCTCCGAGTCACCGAGAAAACTTGGTCAGATGTTAGCAGCTTACTTCCCTGAGGAGGATGGAAGCGTTACATACATAAGGTTCAAAAACAACGAACCTGGAATTGCGTACCAAATTCGCAATTGCATGACCATGGAAGAGTACGAAAGGTTTCTACAAGAGAAACCAGCTCTAAACAACTCAGAAAAGAAAGAATAAAAAGTTTAACTCGTAATTGTTTATTTTTTTACTTGTATGGGCAAGCTGCAAGAATGAAGTCGACTATCTCAGTCTTTGTTTTGACGAGCTGGACGGCTCTTGCGAGTACGTCTGTTTTGCGGTCTCCAGCTGGTGTCTGACCTTCGTAATTGCGCATGTTCTTGAGAGCTCCAACTGTAAATGATTGTAGGATGAAGAGTCTCTCAGACTGCTTGAGGTAGTCTTCACGGTCACGAACCGAATCTGTGGTACGAGTCGAATCGGTCGATTTGAGGGAAGAGACTGAAAGCCTGTCGTCTTCCATAGGGGCTGTGGCATAATCTTTGCGTAAACGGTTCAGACCTTCTTCGAACTCTTGGTCTCTCTTCGATTGGGATTGAGATTGGAATTGCTGGGGTGGAGCTTGCTGGAACATCCAAGGGTTGGGGAAGTAAGGCATAGGCTGAGGAGGGTAGTTCGGGAAGCCTTGTAGTGGAAATTGGTAGTAACCTTGAGGTGGAAATTGGTAGTAATTTGGTGGAGGTACTTGCTGGAACTGAGGTGCAGGGGCTGGTGCTTTAGGTTCCTCTGGTTTGGGAATGGACTCAGTTGGTGGGACGTCGGACATTCGTTTGTGGCTTAACCGTCGGACCACAACGATAAAAATCTCTGCTACTAGCAGTACTTCTACTGACAGTAGAAGTACTTTTACTGACAGTAGAAGTACTTTTACTGACAGTAGAAGTACTTTATCGTCGAAAACCCTCTCAAATTTTCCTTTTTACTGACGGTAGAAGTACTTTTACTGACAGTAGAAGTACTTTTACTGACAGTAGAAGTACTTTTACTGACAGTAGCAGTACTTTTTCTGACAGTAGAAGTACTTTTACTGACAGTAGCAGTACTTTTTCTGACAGTAGCAATGGTCGAGGTCGAACCTACCGACGAGGCAATTTACCTAATTGAAATTAACGAGCTTGTTAAAGACTTCCTCAGGCAGAATGTAAAAGGCAAGCTTGTTAGCGGTTGGATAACGGGAAGGGCTGCCTTGAATCTCGAGACTTCGACTGGAATTCCAATTCAAATACCAGACGGGACAGCCTACGATGGCATAAAGCAAGCAAAGAAAGAAGCTCTTCTCAAGTTCTTTGCAAAGCGTCCTTGGATACAACTTCCAAACAAGGAGAACCCTTTCCCAAGAATGAGCCAAATTCTCAAGGGTCTCCTTCACTTCTCGGGTCAGCCGTTCTACATAACCTGTGAAGGCGACATCCAACCAGTTCAGTAAACCTTAACGTTTAGAGTAAAAACATTTTTTTTCATTTTTTGAATGAAGCAAGTTAAATTCGTCCCACACCAATCTCAATGGACCGATGAAGAGTTTCAAGCCATAGTTGAAGACGTTGAGAACGACATAGACGGCGAACTTGAAGGAGCTCAAATCACAATTGCAACCAAAATTGCAGGAGTCAAGGAACAGATAGCTCCACTTAAAGCTACCAAAGCTACTCTTGACCTCATGGATAGTTACCGTTTAGAAGTAAAGAGTGGAATAAGACAATTAAAATTGAAACTTCTAAACTACGAAGCTATACTCCAAAAGTTAGCAGAAATGAGAAGACTTTACCAGAGCTACTTACATGTAAGGGACTTACCTTCAAGCAGTCCGACCAAAGATGAATTTTCTGACATTGTCCCAATTTTGTCCGAAAGTCAGCTCAGATGTTTTGAACTGCTCCCAACATATCCAGAATATGAACGTTTGCCTGAACTCTTCCGCAATCTCAAAAAACGTTTTTTGGTTCTCATGTTCGAAACTTTTATCGGAAGAGACAACAAACGTTCAGAAGAAGAACAAGATATTATTTTAAACTTGTTGTATGACATAACTGTCATAACAAGCTTTTTGAAGTAAAACCGCCATTCTCAAACCACTTCATTTTTTCGATGTCCGAACAAGCACCGAAGCCGAACACAATAGCAGATGTCCTTTCAAGGTTGCCAGACAAGCGCCCAGTTCAAATTCAAATTGCCCAATTGAAAGCTCATCTGACAAACACCAGTTAAGACTCTCCAAAGTATCTTAATGGAAGAGATAACCAATCTCAAAGCCAATGTCCTCATGAACCAAGCTTCCAATGAGAAAGTCCTGAACAATTTCACGGAAACCTTGCGCAATTACGAGAGAGAAAACCGAGACCTTGCCAGACTCATCTACCGTTTCTTCGAAGAGATAGACGCCATCTGGAAGGTACTCGGAAAGGACAGAACATGCAACACCGTACTTCGTGAGTACCAAATTGAAGAAGGAATTGTCGAGGAAGAAGAGGAAGAAGAGGAAGAAGAGGAAGAAGAGAAACACGAAGAAGTTTCCTGAAGCGCTACATGGGCAACCCTTGTTGCCGATGACGGTTACGAAATTTCCCAACCCTACCCATACCAAATCCGCAACAAGGCGACAGGCAAGGTTCTTACCCCAGTCCTCAACAACTTGGGACACTTGAACCTTAACCTTCGGAATCGCGGTTCAATCTCCATGGGCAAGCTTGTCGCAATTCAATGGGTTCCAAATCCAGGCAAGAAGACGAAGGTCAGACACATTGACGGTGACAAGCTCAACAACCGTAAGGAGAACCTCGAGTGGTTCTAAGAGTAAAAAAATTTTATTTTAGGGGAAACCCCAAGTAAATTTAGGTGTTTATTTGGATAAGTATGTTAAATTAAGGGTAATTTGAAAATTAGTTCCCGACCTTTGAATTGGGCTCTTTCGTTATCCCAGTTGCGTAGGAGGTCGTCCCAGAGGAGTTGGTAGAATTGCCAATCCAAGGACGATTTGTCCTCCCAGGCATTGAGGATGTACTGCTCGTAGAGTTTCATGACCTCTGCCTTGCACCAGACACCCTCTCCCTTGGAACGTAAGGCTTCTTCGAAGTGCTCGAATGCGATTGGCTGCGTGACCATCCGAAATGACACTTTTTGTCCGTTTGGTCAATGTTCGTGTCTCGTGCCATAGTCGACGAAAATACAGACAAACAGGTTATATATGAGTTTGAGACCAAGAATGGTGTAACTCGACCTGTCCGATTCAAAGACTCCGAGGGCGACCATGAAATTAAACGGAAATTAGCTAGGAAGGAATATAAAATGGACTGGTTGCCACCACCTCCACCTCACCACCTTTACCTGTTCCTCAAGTAAATAAGCCTTTCCCGTTCCCAAGAATTCCCACATTTTAATTCAAATTCGAATAAAATTTTTTTATTTCATGCAATGTTTTATTTCTGTGCCGTCTTCAAGTATGCCCCAGTACTTACGCTTGGAGAGGACATGAACTTCGGTGAAAATTTTGTCCAATTTGAATTGACCCATCTTTTCACCGACCATGCCCATTTCAATGAGTTTGTTGTATCCTTCTTCGTTCGTCATGAGTGCGTCAATGTTCTCATAGTAAACCACAACTTTCGATTTGACTTCGGAGAAGAATTTGTTGTAGTTGTCAAGGACTGCCTTTGCGAACTGAGGGTAAGACCAATGTTCGACAATAGGTTTTAATGTGGTTACTAAGCCACTTTGACCTTGAGTGAATTCGTACTTCAAAACAAAAGGAGAAAACCTTTCAACAAAGTTGTCGACCTTCTCATAATGTTTACTCTTCATCTCTTGAGGTTTCTTAATGGAATATCCCCATGTCGAATTCATAAGCAATTTGAGTGTCATTGCAAGTTTGGGGTTTGAAGCTTTCCTAATATCATACAGTTGTTGTATGACTTTTCCAACTGTATAGTTCCTTCCGGGAACTCACCATCTTCGTTTGGAATTCCAGTCGGAATATATTGGACAAACCTCATGTATGCAGCGTTAAGGTCGACATAGTATATCTTTTCGTTTGAGTCGAACTTGTCGCAACCAATTGTGTCCAGTTTGTGGAAATTCAAGTGAGTCTCTTATCTTCTGAGAAGCTTCTCCTGTTATCTCATAACATCATCGAAGCAACCTGTTTTCATATAAAACCTTCTGACCTAACTCAGATGCTCTCCAATACAATTTGACGTCAATTGGATGTCTCAATGGAAGTTTGTTTATAGCATCTTGAAGTTCTTGCAACCTCATTGGAAGTTCTTCTGGTTCAGGTTGGTATCCGAACAATCCAACTCCTTTTGGAATTGTGTACTTCTTTTGTACTAGAACTTTGTCTGGAACAACTTTTGGTCTTGCTAACAGTGAAAAGTTTGTTTCGTCTTTTGGTACAAAAGTTTCTGTCAGCTTGTCATCTGGAATTGGTTCCAACAAACCTTTCTCGAAAAGAATGTTTACAGCTCTGACAATATTGCACTTGCCTTTTCCGAACAATGGGTTTGTAAGACTTTCGTTCAACATGAAGTGGTTGTGGACAATTACAATCTTCAACCATGGTAAATTGAACTCAACAACATAGTCGTCATGTGAAGAACCTTTCTCAGTCGGAATGTTGACTCGGATATTGACATTTGCCAACGGTGCAATTTTTGCCAATTGACCTCTGAGAATGTACCTTGTCTTCACACATGACTCAAGATACTTCATCTTCTCTTCTGAAACAAGACCAGAGTTCCTGAGACATGTAAGAATACAAGGTTCATTGACAATTGTTTCAATTGAATTGTAAATTCCATACCTTGTCAAGTCAATGTCAGACTTATTTATGAAGGGGAAGTATCCAGCATGTTGTCTGACTGCTTGAGGGTTAGGTTGGTACCATTCGAACTTGACACTTGCAATTCCTTCAATTGCATTCAAAATGTCTGAGTCGGAGTCAAACATTTGTTCTCTCTTTGTAGTCTTGAAAGCGTCAAGAAGTTTTGCAGCTGTTTGTTCATTGCCATTTGCATAGTAAATGTGACCATCCAAATCTGTTATGGTCAATCTGAGATTGTATCCTTTCTTATTTCCGTCTTGTATGGCAGCAAGTACACCCATGAAGCCTTCTTTGTTCTTTCCTTCGTCAAAGTTTACTGTAAAGGTTCGACCAGATGTAATTTGACTTCTAACTTCACGATACTTTTCATATGCATATCTTGTTCTTTCCATGGGAGCATGTGCGTCTTCACCTTTTCCTTTTTTCCTTCTCAAAGGATGCAATTGTTCGTCATGTTTCCAGTAGAATCTGGCAAAGCCGTCGTGTCCTTCAACTTGAGGTTCACTAACATCGAAAGCATGTCCATAAGACGTTCTTCTTCTAACCTCTCTAGTCTGTTTGGATAATTTGCACGTGCTGTTTCCAAATCCATTTCGTAGCGAAGACCAGCCATTTGTCATAGACTTTTATGGGTCTTCCCTTCCTATATTTAAAATTCTTCGAAACTCTCCAACCATATCTTTGTCAACTCTTTTATTCTAGCAGACTTTCTATCCTTTCTATATGGGGGCATTTTTATAAAAATAAAAAAATGTTTTTTCTTTACTTAACATAACCGCCTGCTGCCATAAGTCTTTGACGCCAACCCAACCCTATAATGAAGGTTGACTTGGTTTAGTTTGGAAACTAAACTTTTGTTTTGGTTTATCTTCAGTTTTGGTTTCTCTTCTTCTATCGGTTTTCGTCACTTTTCGGTTCCTCTGACTTTACTTCACTTAACATTGTGTCGTCAACATCTTCATAAATATCATATGCCATTTGTTTTTGTTTTCCTTTCAACTTTTGTGTTGTTGTAAAGTTTATATTTGACTCTAAGTCAATGATGATTCTATAATGAACTGTTGGTCAGTGAAGTAAACTTTTCCATCTGTTGTCTCGAAAGCTCCTTCAGACTTCAATATTTTATTTGTGAGAGTCTGTTTCTTTTTTGAGATACTAGCCGTTCCATTTCTATGAAAAGTGACTTTATAGTTAGGGTTTGTATTTCCAGACCTGGCACTTTCTATATTGAATTTTTCTCTTCATCTGTAAGTTCTTTGACAGGTTTTGACAATGGTTCTGAACTTTTGTTTGTGGTGTCAAATCTACCGTTTCAACTTCTTCGGTCATTTCATCTCAGTAAAAAATTTTAGTTTGGTTTGTTTCAACTGGTTGTTGTTGTTTTTAAGTCGGT